ATGCCAACATAAAGAAGGCAGTCAGAATAAAAACAAGAACATAAATATACAAGATAAACAAACAATAAAGACAAAACATTTTATGCAGCACATTTCAATACAAAATACAACCATTTTAGAAAAATAAGAACGGACATAAAATGGTCAATGGGACTGAGCCACAAAACAGCATAATTGCTAATAAGGCCAGGAGCATATATGAAAGGTGTGTGGAAGACATTAAATCATAAAAAAAAATAAAAATAGGCTTTAAAAAAAATGCAAAAGACAACAGCAGTCATAAATACAAATGCAAAGGCAAAAGATGGGAAAATGCAAAAACACAAAAAGACAAAGCACAATAAGTACATGAGTGCCGAGACAAAAATAAAGGAGCATTAAGACATAAAGGGCATTTAAAATTTAAATCAAACACCACAATTAATAAATGTAAACTGTAAAAACCATCACTACAACGGGGCACAAAAAAGGACCTTTACAAAGTGCCCAAATAAAATAAAGAGGTATAAAAAGACCATATCAAAAAACGTTACAGAACAAACAGAAATTAAAATAATAATAACAATAAGGAACATAAAGCCCATAACTTTTGACAATCATAAACTCAAATGGTGCATTGAAGGACACAAGGACATCAATAAAAATGATGAAAAGAGCACAAAGGCTAAAATAGTGGCATAAAGCCACTTTCAAACCATTTTGAGAAGCACTATACAACTACAACTGACTAAAACAAACAGAACAAAGGCATAAATACAAGTAGTTTAAGAGGGAAAGGGAACAGAGGTAGGCCTATGGAAGTATTACAGGATTGAATAAATGCAAAGAATGGAAAACTAACAAATTACATTCCAAATTCACTATATAGTATAGACCTTATGTAGCCCCGCCCCTTTTCAGCGCTACGCTCGTTGTCTTTTGACTTCCGGTCTGTAGCCTATTTTCACTGCGATCTTGCATAAATATGAATGAACTGCTCGTAAAAAAAAAAAAAAAAAAAAAAAAAAAAAAAATTCCCGGTCGACATTTGTTAAGACATCTGCTTTACAATGCTTATGATAAACTTTACAATGCTCATGATAACTTTTGTTAAATCTACAATAAGTAAATCCACTTCACCAGCTAATTAGTCCGACAGCGATGCCATAATATACAGAGCAACCGCAAAAACGGAAGTTCAAAGACAATATTCTAAAGATGACGGCACCCACGTTTCTCTGGTGCATAAGGGCTATACACCGGCATTAACAAAAACAAACTGATTGTTTTTTTTTATTATTATTAAAAGAGATTGTTAATATAGACATGCAATTAATGCATCAAAATAGAACCCCTAAAACTTTAACAGCCAAATTGTGAAATACACCTCCGTCAGAATTACCTAATTTCCAGAAACGTTTGGACATTTACGTTTGGACGTCTGTCGCTTAATTGTTCATTCTCTTTAACCTTTTTTTACTGGCAAAAAAAAAAAATTACAAAGAAAAGTTCACCATTTTTTTTTTCATTGGCCAACACAATTGTAAATGTAAATTAAATAAACAAATTTTTATTTTGATGGCTGAAACACTCCAAAAAAGTTACCAAGGCAAAATAAAATTGAATAGACTCTCAAAACCTGGGTTAACAGCCATCAAAATAAAATAAAGTATATTTTCAAAATAAAATTATGTGTCCGAGAAAACATTGGAAATATTTCTTTGTACTTTTGTCAGTTGCCAAGGACAATTAAAAATTACTAAATCACAGAATCTTGATTTTATTGCATTTTACAAAATATCCCAACAATTATGGAAATGGGGTTGTAGTAAAAGTATAAATTCAAGAGAATCATCTTACAGAAAAGTATTTTCAAAAATAGCAACAAGCATACCTGCTCAAACCCCTCCAAGGTTTGCTGACGTTGGTGGGGTCACTTTGTTGTTTGATCAAATCCAGGTTTCAATTTTATACAATCATCAGACATGGCTCGTCTTGGGATTGACCAAGAAAAGTTTTCGGACTTTGGGATATCAGACAACTGTAAAACAGTGAAGGGTGAGACACAAAGTACGGGTTAACAAGACATTAAAAGTAGATGAGTGCACAAAAAACCCTCAAGGGCCTGATCTGCATCTCACACACACACACACACACACACACACACACACACACACACACACACACACACACACACACACACACACACTAGTGATGGGCGGATCGATCCTGAAGTAGCAATACTGACGTGGTATCGAAAAGGATCGATCCTCACATAAAAATATCGATCCAAATGTGCATTTTTTTAACCAGTAATTTTGTATTAATTTAGCATACAATTTAGTGCGAAAAATAAGCTTCTAGTGGAAAAATAAGCGAATGCGAATGTAATTGTGTAGGATGACAGAGAAACTATCGTGAGTTATTTCGCAATAAACAAACCAAAACTGTACATAACAGTTGAAAATGTTGACTTTCTTTCAACTTTGTTCATCAAATAATTCTGCATAAAATGCATCATGGTTTCCAACAAAATATGAAACTGTTTTCAACATTGATAATAATAAGAAAAGTTTCCTGAGTAGCAAATCAGCATATTAAAAAGAATTATCATCATGACTGGTGTAATTATGCCAAAAGTTCTGCTTTGATCACATGAATAAATTACAGTTTAGTATGGCATAGAAAACAGATAGCCTATGTTAAATTGTTAAATTGTAAAATTACAGTTTTTACTAAGGGAAATAAAAATCTTAAAGACCCCAAACTTTTGAACAGTAGACTAGTAGTTGGCTAGTACTATAAAATGCAAGTTCAAATGCATGCTTTTAAAATGAAAAAGTAGCAGTATCGGCGACACTGGCCCTGTATTTACTTGGTATCGGATCGATACAGAAATTTGCAGTATCGCCCATCACACACACACACACACACACACACACACACTGAAACTTCAGCATCAATGCTAATGCTAAGTTAGGTGCTTGACTGATCAAATAAGACAGTCCAGCACAGCATTTAAACAACAAAGTTACACCAGATCGATACACTCACGAGCCAGTGCTTTCTTACACCGTGTCAAAAACAGACGAGTACGACAAACAATTAGAAATCCAAGTATAATGCTTCAGTTATTGAGTTTCAGGTGAAGATAAAGGGGATGACTTCAAATGGTAAGTATTTCCACACACACATATAAACACACACTTTTTGGTTGCCATGAGAGTAAATGAATAAACAATGTCTTTGTCTTACAAGGATTGCATGAACGTTGGAGGTGGAGAACAGACGAGGGATTTAGGAGACAGGATCTCGGAGAAATCTCAGAGGGTCAATCACTCAGGTAAGCAGAAAGGCAAGTAATCCAGTCCTAGACCAGTTTTAGACCAAACAAAGTGTGTGACTGAGGTGTGCTGAAATACTGTGGAGATGAGTGTGTTGATCAGGTGCAGGTGAGGATGATGGCTGAGTAAGTGCAGGTGATGAGCAGGAGGAATTCTGGGAATTGTAGTTTTGAGTGATATGGCTGGACCATGGCTACGTTCAAAACCACATTTCAATAAGTACTACTCGATGAGCGCTAAAATAGTAGGTATTATTTATTTATTTAATTAACAAGGACAATGTATGGCCATATCAGAATTAGCTACAAGCTAAATTTCATCTGTAGTCCCTGGGCAGGAAAAGGTAACATTCAATTAACAATCCAACAGACCATATAAATATATCATAAAACGTCATCACGCAAGTAGCCAGTCAGACAGCAAAATTTCACATTCTTAAAAATAAAAAAACACAATAAAACAGAACAACAGAAAAAATGTGCAATATTAATAAACATAACAATACAACATTAGGATAAGACAAAAAAATAGTTTTTTGAATTTATGATTAATGGATACATGATTGTATACATTTTCGCCATAATTTTACTGTATATTTACTAGTAAATGTACTACTGTCTCTAATCTAATTTGGGTCTAAGTTCCAGTCCTTAGAGGCTCTGATAGAGAAGGCTGATCTGCCAAACTCAGTGCGTCTGCGCTGTACGGCACAGTGACCTCTACTGGTCGCACGGGTTGTTCTCAGACTATCTGAGAGCAATATTATGATCTCCTGTAATGGAGATTAATTAATGCAACAGTGGCAAGGAACCGAAAAACTCCATAAAGTGACCCAATGGAGAATAAAAAAACCCTTGGGCGAACCCAGGCTCAGTCGGGGCCAGTTCTCCTCTGGCGTCTATGAACTAGAGGCCGGATTTACAGTAACTGTACGGTAATAATGTATATGAATGTCTCTAAACAGACTTTAAACTGAGCCTGTGATAAACACTGATGGCGTTCACATGCACGTAAAGAATTGATTCAATAGTTATGTGCGTTTGAATATATGTGCGCATTGTAGTTCCCCACAAAACCATGCCTGAACAAACTACTTGTCTATAAATTTGATACAAAATTTGTTTTATTTTATCACTTCGGGGGAGGGATGCGAAACAAATTCCGCTTTATCTGTGGAGTGGAATAGGGATCCTCCATAGGGAGAGGCTAGTGAGCACTGCATCAGATCGACACACGGTCCTCCTCTAAGCAGCGCTTCAATCATCTAGCCATTATTATTAATCATAACCTTGATTGTTACATTATTTGGTAATTGGGATTTGAGTGTGGAATTTGTGGGACCCAGTAAACGGAGTTGAAATCTTAAATATTCGTAGCAGTAACTGAGAATAAAAAGCAACAGATACAGCCGAGCTGTAATGCTTAGCTCAAGGGATAGTTACACACAAAACAAAGAATGAGTCGGACACTGTGATCTCCTTTGGTTTCAACTGAGAGACTTATATAACATATCCTTCAGTGAAGAAAGTCATTCAGGTTTAGAACAACATGAGGAAGAACAATGAAATTCAACAGTAATGTACATTATGTCCTCAAAACAATCTCTAGTTCTGATATTAACAGTCATTACTGTATAAAGATCAGGACGTGAGCAATAAAGACCACGGGTTAAAAGGCTTGGCATTGATGCTGTTCTACAGACTTTATTTTGATAAGATAACGTTTTTGCTAAGAACATATTATAGTAAAATATATGACAGAAATTCATCTGAAGGATTCATCACACAATTGCAATTGATGATTAATACAACGATAATCCAAATCTATCAAGTGACCTATTCTCTCCTCCACCCGAGGTTGTTGTGCACGTTTTATTTACTGCACATAGCGATTGTGCAGGATATGAGTCTTTATGTAAGTATTTTTGTAACTATACAAGATGCAAAAAACCCCAAACAACTGGCATAATAATGAACATCAATAAACCTTAGTCATATTAAATCAGACAGATGAAAAAGACTAAAGACTTTACAATAGAAAAGTAGTGTATAAAGGTACTTGAAGGATATTTGTCAGCATGAAACAGTTGTGTTTACAGTTTAAAACATTGTTATTAAACAGTCCTTCAGTCTCTCACAGCCTCACTTTCATTCCTGACAAAAACACTGCCTAAGTTCTATATATCATACATATTACAAATACATTTTAGAAAAGCTATGTAAAAAGAAAAGCTAAGATACAACTGTTAATCTTCATAAATATAATTTGAAGACTAAGTTTAACTTTAAGGCAGAGAAAGGTAATACGAGTAAACACTATTGCTGTATTTGGTCTTTGGCGTACAGTCAGAGCACTAGTAGAAATTCTGCTTTAATAGTGAATCTTATCGGTGGCATTCATCTAAAGATTCAGGTCACAAGTGTCAGTGTTAAGACTTTTCCAGTGATGAATGACTTAGGAAATGTTACGAATGTGCAAACCTGTTCACACAGCTGCAAAAATCAACAACACAACTGACAAACTCATAAAACCGTCAGTCGAGACGGATCCTGTGTGAACATCACGACCAGTGCTGTGGACATCAATCATGGAAAGCACAGAGACTACTGTGGGGGTGGAGTCAGAATTCTCTGCCTGAGCTCTCATTGGCTGCTGCTGCTGCTGCAGTGGGCGGAGCCAGAGGCCTCACCCAGAGCTCTCATTGGCTGTTGCTGCAGTGGGCGGAGCTCTGGCCAGCCTCCACTTCATCTTTGGGAGTCAACCTTCAAGCGGAATAAAAGTAGGTGTTAAAAAGCAATGAAAATCATTCGATTAAATGAACTGTTAGTACTGACAGGGTTAGGGTTAGGAAAGGTTGGAAAGGTCGCAGTGGAAAGGTTGTATCATCTAAACAAAGTAAATTCAAACAATCCTCAATGTAAAACATGAACCTGTGTGCGCTTTCAGCGTCGGCTCTACTGCGTCTCTCCGTCGGCCCGATGCGTTCAGAGGAACCAGGCGCATCGCACACACTGTGGTTGTGGATCGCCGTGGAGACGGGTGTTTTGTCATGGATACCGGTGACAGGCGCGTAGTCATGGTTACCGGTGACGGGTGTGTGCATGCCTGTGCTGGTGCCCGTGGACTTGGACACGACCTTGAGCTTGTGTGAGGAGGACTTGTAGTGTTTGGCCTTGTGCTGTTGAACACGGCTGTTGTGCTTGAGGAAGAACTCGCAGGACTCCTGCAGGACACGCCGGCTCTCGCTGATGGGGCTGAAGCACACACACACACACACACACTCGTCAGACCAGGTGATGCTTGAAGTGGAAAATAAGACATAATACCCTCTATGACAGATTTGCCGAGTTATGTCGAGTTCACACTGCATGGTTTTCACTCACTGGCAGATTTTGCCAAATCGCAACAAATGCCTGAAATCGGAAGCAAATGGAGGCTTGTTCATGCGAGTGACAATCACACAGTGTGAATTATCAAAGACGCAACACTGATGAGTCGGCAATTCAAAATCGTTGTAAATAAACTCATCATTGCATCTAAACAAACAACAATGTTTACTAGATCCAATACCCACTAAACTACTGAAAGAACTATCGTCTGTAGTGGAAGAGCCTCTCCTCATTATTATTAACTCGTCTTTATCTTTAGGTCATGTCCCAAAAATATTCAAGCTGGCAGTAATAAAACCTCTCATCAAGAAACCGCAATTAGATACAAATAACTTGGCAAATTACAGACCCATTTCAAATTTATGTCCAAAATCCGCTCAATTGTGCTCTTTCTTGCAAGAAAATGATATCTATGAATTTATTTCAGTCAGTATGACATCTATTTCAGTCTGGATTTAGACGGCATCATAGTACAGAAACTGCGCTAGTTAAAATTACAAATGATTTACTTTTAGCTTCTGACCAAGGCTGTATCTCAATACTAGTCCTACTTGATCTTAGCGCTGCGTTCGACACTATAGATCATAAAAAATACTCTTGGATCGACTACAAAACTTCACCGGTGTCCAGGGACAGGCATTAAGCTGGTTTAGATCGTACTTATCGGACCGTTCTCATTTTGTCTGTTTAAATGGGGAAAAATCAAGGATAACGTCAGTAGACTATGGAGTACCGCAAGGATCGGTTTTAGGCCCTCTGCTATTCTCAATATATATGCTGCCACTTGGTAATATTATAAGAAAACATGGAATTAATTTTCACTGTTACGCTGACGACACTCAATTATATATTTCATCACGACCAGATGAAAACACTAACTCATCTAAATTGACTGTCTCAAAGATAAAATCTGCTGGATGATGCGTAATTTCCTGCTATTAAATTCAGATAAAACGGAGGTATTACTTATTGGTCCAAAAAACTACTCACAAAACCTCTCACAATACAACTTTAATATAGACGGATGTCCTGTTACTTTATCCACTACAGTAAAAGACCTGGGTGTTATACTAGACCGCAACTTGTCTTTCCAACATCATATTTCATATGTTACAAGAACAGCCTTTTTCCACCTTAGAAACATTGCTAAGCTACGTAACATGCTATCTATCTCTGATGCAGAGAAATTAGTTCACGCATTCATGACCTCGAGACTAGATTACTGTGATGCTTTATTAGCTGGTTGTCCTGCATCCTCAATAAACAAGCTACAGTTAGTACAAAATGCAGCTGCTAGAGTTCTTACTAGGTCAAGAAAATATGATCATATAACACCGATTTTATCATCTCTACACTGGTTACCTATTAAGTTCCGCATCAACTACAAAATACTACTACTGACCTATAAAGCCCTGAATGGTTTAGCACCTATGTACTTAACGGACCTTCTCTCGCCCTACAATCCACCGCGTTCCTTAAGATCACTAAATTCAAGGCTTCTGGTCATTCCTAGGATATCTAAGTCCAGTAAAGGAGGGAGGGCGTTCTCGCATTTAGCTCCAAAACTCTGGAATGGCCTTCCCGATACGGTCCGAGCCTCTGACTCGCTGACACAGTTTAAAATTAGACTAAATGATGCATCTCTTTAGCCAAGCATTCACACAATGTTTACCTTTTATACTACTGTTGAATCAGATCGAATGCATTAATATTATGAACACCAGCTATGCTAAATCTATACATGATTAACTAACTGTATTTTTCCATTTCTGAAATGCACTTTCTGTAAAGCTGCTTTGAAACAATATGTATTGTGAAAAGCGCTATACAAATAAATTTGAGTTGAATTGAGTTGGAAGTGTGAACACAGTCCTGCCCGCGTCTCCCCCACCATTTTCTTCATAATCTTAATCATAATTTTTCTTTTACTCGTTTTCACTGTAAATCATTTTGGATCACATGCTTCTTGCAGGCTATCATTTTTAATAACAATTTCAGTCCCGCACATGCGTGATCATGTTATTTCCTTATCACTTCTCGCGTGTGTTTGGTTGTGAAACATAGTTGGAGCTGGCAGTGTTGGTGATTCTTTGTTTTGTAAGCCATGCAGTGAGACTGAACGCCGCCACAGATACTCCTGCAGCGTGAAAACAACAGTTATCTGATGCGGTGTGAACTCAGCATTAGGGTTAGAGAGAGCATCCTCACTCTTTCTTGCGCGTTCTCTTGAAGAATGAGGCCCATTCCCAGCAGGTCTTCTTACTGCTGATCCAGAACACGGCTGATATTCCCACCACCAGCGTCATCAGATACTTGACGAGGAACAGGGAGAGCTCAGGCCGCTCCACATCCACACTCTGCAACAAACCAAACAGCAGGTCAGTGAGAGACTACAGGTGCTGGTACTGTGCCAGAAGGATGGGGTCAGGGATAGGGTTTGGGTAAGGGTCAGGGATAGGGTCAGGGTAAGGGTCAGGGATAGGGTAAGGGATAGGGTCAGTGTAAGGGTCAGGGATAGGGTCAGTGTAAGGGTCAGGGATAGGGTCAGTGTAAGGGTCAGTGTAAGGGTCAGTGTAAGGGTCAGGGATAGGGTCAGGGATAGGGTCAGGGATAGGGTCAGGGATAGGGTCAGGGAGTCTCACGCGTCGGGAGCAAGGGATGCTGAACTCCTGGCAGTGCCGGCGGATCCAGCTGTTCTCCCAGGACTCGCGCTGGGCTTGTTCGTACAGGTAGCAGCCGAGCAGCACCAGCAGCGGCAGCAGGTACAGGCCACTGAACACGCCGATGCGGATCATGAACTTCTTCAGCTTCTCCTGGTTGCGCTCGTCGTGCTGGATCACCTGCCGCACGTGGTTCAGAGACACGATGCCGGCGAGCAACAGTGACAGGCCGACCAGAACCCCGAGGGCTAGCGGCGCCACGACGAACCAGCGTAGTGCTGCCAGATCGTAAAGGCCGACGAAGCATACGCCGCTCACGCTGTCTCCCTCCACCTTCCCCAGTGCTAGCAGCGAAACCGTAAGCGCTCCGGGGATACCCCAGGCCACCGCGTGGAACCACACCGCCTTCTTCTCGATGGCCTCGCAGCTCCACTTGGGCCCTGCGGCCAGAAACCATGTGATGGTGAGGATGACCCACCACACCATCCCTGCGGTGGAGCAGAAGTAGAGCAGCATGAAGAGCAGCGTGCAGCCGCGGCTCTGGGCTCCTAGCACTACCGTAGCTGCGCGGCCCGGCACACTCGGCTCCACGCACGCCGCCTCCGTGTCCAGCAGAAAACCAATGAAATACACCAGAGACACACACGTGTAGCAGACGGAGTAGAAGATGATGGGCCGCTCGGGGTAACGGAACCGCTGGACATCGATGAGGAAGGTGAGCGACGTGAAGAGAGTAGCGCACAAGCACACGGCGGAGCACACGCCGATGAAGGTCTTAGCCAACTGAACCTCGTGTGCTTTCAGGAACATGTTATCGCAGGGCGGAGCGCAGTCTCGAGCGCCGAGGAAAGAGCTGGCCTGACCGGTCCGAGTCTTCAGATGCAGCGGACACCAGAACCCCAGATCCCGACCGGACGACGGCGAGCTTCTGGATGTGGTCAGTTCCTCTACGGCGGAGACGGCAGAACCATCCGGAGAAAAGCGGCACGACTCCAATCTGAAAAAACAACATACAAATCAAAACAACGTTCAGCTCTGAAAACAGCCTTAGGCCTGGGGCTAGTTTCATAGACACAGTCATCATGTCAAGAGTGTGACCAACCAGATTTACAGGCTGACCTTTCAGGGTCAAATTAGACTAGTCTACGTTTCTATATAACGGACTTAAAGTTATGAACAGTCCTAAAGAAAAATATGAGATGACCAACATGTAACACTAGGGTTAGCAGTTAATGCCACTGGCCAGTGTAACAGTGTGTGTGTGTGTGTGTGTGTTCTCACCGGTCGCACTGCAGCTCTGACGGCCAGCTGATCCCGAAGGTTAGCATGTCTCTGCTACAGTCGTTCTGCACGCGCTCACACCGCTCTCGGCACGGGCGCAGCACGCGTGTGTGATCTCGGCACTCGGGAACGAAGGCCTGGCACAGGAACAGATGCACGTCTGGAGAACAGCGCAGGCTGGCCAGCGGCATGAAGAGCTACACACACACAACAAGAAGAGAGGGAGAACGAAGCGCATGAACAGTTGGTGAGATAGACTCACTGCAGAGGAAGTGTATTAAAGGGTAACTAAACCCCTGGTCAGAGCCTGACTCCACCCACTGGCAATATTTGAAAAATGCTGGAAAAGTGGGCGGACCCCAGCGGAGGGGGGCGTGAATTTTCAGATATTTGTTTGATTTTTTTGCCCCTTTAAACATTTAAAATATTTGACAAATGAATATGGAAAAAAAAAGAAGATTTTACTGGTTTTCTGAGGCCAAATTAGAACCTGGAAATGATTTCCCCCGCAGTGCTGAATGAGAAGAGCCGTAACCACGGCCGACAGAAAGGGGATTTATAGATGATTTATAATATATAATAAATGTGTCTGATAATAAAATAATATAAAATAAGAGGCATTAATTGATTATTAATAAACTATTGTTTTCTAAATCAGTTTCTCCTAAAAACAAATCTCCATCCCCGGATACACCTTATAAATACATAATTAGCTAAACATAATTACGTCAGGAGATATTGGCTTTTGATTCGAATTTGTTCGTTTTAAATTGGACATTTAAAGCCTAAAGCTTTAAATGTCCAAATTTAAAACGAACAAATTCGAATGCGGCTGTTTCAGTTCTCGCGCTTCAGTTCACGGAAATCATGAAGCGCGCCTGTTTGTTAAAGCACAACATTTTCTTGTTATTGCGAGTTTACGCAAATAAATGTATTTGCGAATCATGTATTATTATTTTCTGTATGACCAGAAATGAAAGAGTATTTTAAGTTGTTTCCACTGAAAGAACTGCAATGAAACTGCAAGTGTTCACATGGGCGTCTCGCAGCCTAAGCACACACACGGATATGCGTCAAAATATTTTGTTTATTTGTGCTTTGTTCCTTTTTTGGATAAAAGCGTCTTCTACATATGCACCCTATAAAATGTTACAATAATGATGATGATTATTATTATTTGCGGACACGGAGTTTTTGCGAAATGGTGTTGCCAATGTGCGTATTTTCAATTGGCAATTTCAGTTTGAAGGGTGATGGAAACGCACCTACTTTAACTGCTCTGAACTTACCACTGCGTTTTATTTCTATAAATTAATTTCGTTTCAAATGGGGTCCAACCAGTTATTAGGTTATTAGGTTGCGGCGCGCACACTATAGGTTAACCGAGTATTAACCGAAAGGGCCTCGGTTAACGGTTAATGAAAAACTTGAAAACGTGCAGCCCTAGTTTGCAGGTATTTGTTCGTCCTTTCTTTGTTGATGACGAACACAAACTTTCTTCTAACGGTTCATTCACACTGCAAGTGATTTGCCGGGATCTGTGAGTGAGTTCACACACAACCCGTAAAAATCCCGGGAAGACACATGACGTCAGGATGAGACGTATAACGGACGCGTCGAAAACATGTAAACGCGCATACCGTACACGCACTGGTGAACGATCTCAGCTTCAGTACGGATAGTGAGGAGCTCCTGGTCTCTGCTTCGCTCCAGTTTGCAGTAGGGGTGTCCATGGTTAACCGGTTAACCGATTAGCAGTAACCGTTTAAAATTGCATAACCGAGTGAAACCTTTTTGCTCGGTTAAGTGGCGTCAATACATATTTGCACAAAACTTTTGCGTTTTTTTTTTTCTGATTGTCGATAAAAAAATATTGTGAAATGACAGCGTTTCTATTAACGGTGTTATGCGACTAAAACATTTTTTTTCCTTTCGCGATAAGCCATTCCAAAAATAATGGCAACGGAAGTTGGTATATCAGCCACCGCACTAGACATTATTATTATTATTTATGGAAGGAGACGTGGGTGTCATCCAAGCATTAATGGCAGGGACAGTCACAGAGTTTCTGTGTGTTTCTCCCTCATTTCTGCTCCGCGGTCTTGATTGTGGCATTTCTTTGAGGTTTTGTCTAGGCTATATTCTTTTATGAATTTTAAAAAAGAACTCTCCCTCGTATATGTCCAAACGGTCAGTGTACTTTTGTGTTCATTCGTTTCCCCTTATTTAATCCGTAGGCCTAATTGCAAAACGAAAAATGAACGGTTGTTGTATTTTGTAAAACGCAGAGTTTAACACCAAAATGTTCATTTGAACTGTAGGACTAGGTCAAATGCTGCGCAAAAATATATAGGCTAGGCCTATATATTGACGAATTTTCAGATATTTGTTTGATTTTTTTGCCCCTTTAAACATTTAAAATATTTGACAAATGCATATGGGAAAAAAAATATTTTACTGGTTTTCTGAGGCCAAATTAGAACCTGGAAATTATATTTCCCCCGCAGTGCTGAATGAGAAGAGCCGTAACCACGGCCTACAGAAAGGGGATTTATAGATGATTTATAAGATATAATAAATGTGTCTGATAATAAAATAATATAAAATAACGAGGCATTAATTGTTTATTAATAAACTATTGTTTTCTAAATCAGTTTCTCCTAAAAACAAATCTCCATCCCCGGATGCACCTTTAGAGAGAAATACATAATTAGCTAAACATAATTACATAGTCAGGAGATATTGGCTTTTGATTCGAATTTGTTCGTTTTAAATTGGAAAAAATGTCCAATTTAAAACGAACAAATTCGAATGCGGCTGTTTCAGTTCTCGCGCTTCAGTTCACGGAAATCATGAAGCGCGCCTGTTTGTTAAAGCACAATGTTTTCTTGTTATTGTGAGTTTACGTAAATAAATGTATTTGCGAATAATGTATTATTATTTTCTGTATGACCAGAAATAAAAGAGTATTTTAAGTTGTTTCCACTGAAAGAACTGCAATGAAACTGCAAGTATTCACATGGGCGTCTCGCAGCCTAAGCACACACACTGGATATGCATCAAAATATTGTGTTTATTTGTGCTTTGCTCCTTTTTTGGATAAAAGCGTCTTCTACATATGCAGCCTAATGTTACAATAATGATAATTATTATTATTATTTGCGGACACGGAGTTTTTGCGAAATGGACGTGTTGCCAATGTGCTTTTCAATTGGCAATTTCAGTTTGAAGGGTGATGGAAACGCGCCTATTTAACTGCTCTGAACTTACCACTGCGTTTTATTTCTACAAATTAATTTCGTTTCAAATGGGGTCCAACCAGTTATTAAAGGTGTTAAAAATTAACTCTGTATCTCGAGGTTGCGGCGCGCACACTATAGGTTAACCGAGTATTAACCGAAAGGGCCTCAATTAACGGTTAATGAAAAACTTGAAAACGTGCAGCCCTAGTTTGCAGGTATTTTTTCGTCCTTTGTTTGTTGATGACGAACATAAACTTTCTTCTAAGAGCAACAGACTCGCGCGATGGCACGAGCGTCATCACTAAAAACACACCCTTTACGGCATTGGTCCTGGCTTTTGTTCACACAGCGCGCGTTCCGGGACTGATTACGGCAATGTTACTAGGTCCCCAACCCGGGATCAATCCCAGGTCGTGTTTGCGTTCACACAGAAGGCGTTCTGGCAATTTGCCGGCAATTTCCTGGGATCAACTCGCTGTGTGAACGGGGCTAATAGTGTGCGCGCCACTTTTTAATACCTTTAATAACTGGTTGGACCTCATTTGAAACGAAATTAATGTATAGAAATAAAACGCAGTGGTAAGTTCAGAGCAGTAAAGTAGGCGCGTTTCCATCACCCTTCAAACTGAAATTGCAAACACGTCCATTTCGCAAAAACTCCGTGTCCGCAAATAATAATAATAATCATCATTATTGTAACATTTTATAGGCTGCATATGTAGAAGACGCTTTTATCCAAAAAAGGAACAAAGCACAAATAAACACAATATTTTGACGCATATCCGTGTGTGTGCTTAGTGTGGAGTCTGCGAGACGCCCATGTAAACACTTGCAGTTTCATTGCAGTTCTTTCAGTGGAAACAACTTAAAATACTCTTTCATTTCTGGTCATACAGAAAATAATAATACATTTATTTGCGTAAACTCACAATAACAAGAAAACGTTGTGCTTTAACAAACAGGCGCGCTTCATGATCTCCGTGAACTGGAGCTCGAGAACTGAAACAGCCGTATTCGAATTTGTTCGTTTTAAATTGGACATTAAAGCTTTTGTGTGAGTAGACTAAGCTTTAAATGTCCAATTTAAAACGAAAAAATTCGAATCAAAAGCCAATATCTCCTGACTATGTAATTATGTTTAGCTAATTATGTATTTCTCTCTAAAGGTGTATCCGGGGATGGAGATTTGTTTTAGCAGAAACTGATTTAGAAAACAATAGTTTATTAATAAACAATTAATGCCTCGTTATTTTATATTATTTTATTATCAGACACATTTATTATATCTTATAAATCATCTATAAATCCCCTTTCTATAGGCTGTGGTTAACTCTTCTCATTCAGCACTGCGGGGGAAATATAATTTCCAGGTTCTAATTCGGCCTCAGAAAATCTTTTTTTTTTTTTTTCCATATTCATTAGTCAAATATTTTAAATGTTTAAAGGGGCAAAAAATCAAACAAATATCTGAAAATTCGTCGATATTGTAACGTACGGACAGAGACGGTCGGATCCATGTGCAGCACTTTATTAAAGCAAGCAAACATGAACACAGGCAAACACTTAAACAAAGGGGCAATCCAGAAACTCGTGGTCAAAACAGGCAATGGTCGAGGCAGGCAGCACAGGTTCGTGAACAATCCAGGAAACAGGCAAGGGTCAAGAGTCCAGGGAAACACGGAGACACAGAACGGGGAATAACGCTCGGAATTGCACGCTTACAGTGTAACAAGACTTCGCAAGGGACACAGGGAAAACTCAGGCTTAAATAAGGAACTCAATAACCAATAATGAAACACAGCTGAACATAATGAAACACAAAGAGTCCATGGGGAAACAAACATGGGGAGAGGGTGCCCTCTAGTGGCTCTCGAGGGCACCACAGCTGCTGATCGTCACAGATATATAGCCTATATATTTTTGCGCAGCATTTGACGTAGTCCTACAGTTCAAAT